CCTCCTCCTTCTTGCCGGTCTTCTGTCACTATATGGTTTCTGGCAGTACCAACAGGCACGATATGCGGTGCTGATCTTATTCGTCGTTCGGCGAACTCGTCGACCAAATAAGTCACCCTGCCTTCTCATTCAACGCCCTGAAACATCCATACATCCATATTGGGTTTGAATGCCTTGGACGTCGGCGATCAGACGAGGGTGGCGGACGGAAATTGTTGTTGGAGTCAGTGGGACGTCTATGATGAGTTGAAGTTGGGTATATCTATGATGAGAGAGCGCGGCGGATAGGTTCCGGTCCCATCTCTTTCAGACCAAGGGTTGGTTTCGATATACTGAAATTTGTTCTGAATGGTCCGGACTAAAAAAATATGATCATTCCTGAAGTCAATTCCGGAAACCGGGAATCATTTTTTATGGAGTTAGCCTATGGTCTACCTTACAATTAGGGACCTTATTTGAAGTTGTTTACGTAGCTCCTAAACGTGAAACCTACAAGCACCGAAAATTGGTTATACGATCTCATTTTCAATAGTAACAGAAGCTTCTTGGAAGGAACAGGAGCCACTGGTCTGGTGTCAGCTACGTCTTCTGTCCATACGGCTTTTGTTTATCTTTCCGGGCTAACTTCACGGATGAGCTGAGAGGATTGTTTTCGGTGGGTGGCCCTTCATTTTGCTCGTTCGCAATCAGTTTTCACAGGGGTCTCTCCCCATTATTGAAAGCCGTCTGTCGTGCCAACAGTTTATCTCACCACATGTGACATAACGTGCCTAGCGAAAAATAGGAGCACATTCTCCAATGAAAACAACTAAAAGAGAAGAAAACTCGCAAAAAACCAAGAAATAGGAAGAGTGATGGAGTTGAGGATGAGGTGGGCTGTTGGATCAAGCATTAAGTTCTCGATAAAGGCTTGACAAAGCCTTCGGTGTTGAACAATTCCGTTTCTGAGATGCGCCCCTCACTCGACCTTCATTCAGAATCGTTTTGGCGTTTGAGTGTGTATGGGGCCTATACAATGACTTTCTGCGAATAGTTAATGCTCAAGTCATCGCTTTTCCTCCCAAAAGGAGTCTGATACCAATTAACCAATTTTCGAGGGATGGCAGACTTGGTTAGCCTGGGCGGTAATCCGTTGGTGCGCCACTTGCCCCTCTGCCACATACTTGGTCAGTACTATAGTGTTATAGGGCAGGTCTGGTCTAGTGGTAAGTGCCGCACTATCACACGCGCATGTTCACGGGTTCGAATCCCGGATCCATATCACCCTGGCAAACCAAACCTTCCATCCTCCGGGGTCGGTCAAATGATACCAAATTCGTCTGGGAGGATAATAGCACTGGCTTGTTCATCGGCTGGCTACATTAAGTCATTGTACAGGCCACGTACACATTCAATACGCCACTACGACTCTGAATAGAAGTTGAATCGTCTTTGGGAGGGGACGCATTCCTCAGACGAGTTGATTAACACCCCAAGACTTCCTTTTATTTCTTTTGTGATGCCGTATAATTGCAACTTGCAGACAGGAATTGATCGCAATCAACCTTTCTAACCAGGCTGGGTCTTCCTATACAGCCGCCATATCTTTTTTTCGATTCACGTTGAATTTGGAACAGCTATTTAAAAACGGTTCAATAGCTTGGTCCCATGATATTCTCTAGGAAAGGGCCACTTCTCAACTGAGTTGCTTATATGGCTAACAAATTCAATTCTGAGATCTTCTTAGAACACGGTGATTTCTTCGAACCTTACACCCATCCTTCATCCGATTCTGCTCAATAGGAAGGTACGGTACTTTTTATCCACCTAGAATTGTAGGATGATCAAGTTGGTTTCGAAGATATTGTGGGGGGTGGAGATGTTTGATCGGGTAATCTCATAAATTGATTCCATCCTTTTAGGCTCCGACGAAGGTGGTTTCACCGAAACGTAAGCCATTAAGGTATTGTAAACCTCG